TGAGTAAACAACTGTTAAGGCAACACAGGTATATGCCACGTAATTGATCTCCTGTGGTGGATAGGAAGGGTCTCACATAATCATTTAATCACAGACCAGTGTGTTTGGTGATCGTTGAAAATGGGTGATGTTTGGTGGCTGTAGGCATTTCTGTGTTTTCATGTCTCTTTCCTCAGGCAAGACAGCATTTTTTTCCTGCTGCCTAAACTAGCTGAATGTGTGTGTTCCAGAGGGAAAGGTGTAGAAGGAAGAAACACACTTGAAAGGCCCAATTCATTAGTTCCTGTTTTCTTGATCTCTTCTGGCACTTGAAACAATACTTTTGGGCACATCTGCTCTCTGTTTGAAGGCAGGAGGAAAACAAGCATTGACAGATGCATAATATCACAATAAAACATTCTTGCTATAATAAATACATATGATTTGGGGGGGAAAAGTAGCATACTTTGATAGTTTTTTCTATTTAGTTTTATTGGAGTATCTGAGAATATAGTACACACTGTCTTCTAAAGCCACTCATGGGGGTAAAATGGGGAGAGGAGAATAGGTGCAATAGAAAAGATACACACAAGAGATTTCAAAGCATGAGCAAATGTATTTTTCTATAAATAAGTGCCATTGCCTTTTGCATCTTGCCTGATGAAAAAGGTTACTTAACTATTAATGAAAATGTAGAAGCATAGGTGCTTAAGCAAATAAAGCTTTTAAAAATTATTTTTGTTATTCTACATTATTATCTGCAGTAGTGATAACCATTAGGAGAATCACTGACACATTTATTATTCTTTCAGTAGTTGTTAATTATAAGATTGGTAGCTACTCAGTGACAACATACAATTCTTAAGGGAATTTTGCTGAGACAGTTGATAGTGTCTAAGCAGTCAGTATCAGCACATCTACATCTGACCCATATTTTGGAATTTGATATAAATCATGTTGGTAATGAGTAATGCATGAGGCAATAACTAGTTCCATTAAAGTCTTGCAATTTACAGAAAAGCCATTTGTCATGCAGTGTATTTAATGGCAGATATTCCTAGCAGCTAATTTGATTAATGTTTGTCTAGGACATGAAAAGTGGGGGTTTAGAGTTTTCATATTCAGCTTGATGTGGTTCCAACAAGAACAATTTCACCTCACAGGGGAAATTAGGTCTGTGTGACTGGAAAGAGGTGGTAAATCGAAAATATTCCCATGTTAAAGTGTCAATCAGGTGAGCTCAACAAGAGGCAGAGGAACAGTACTTTAGAGCAGATCTGATCTCAGCAATGTTTTTAACCTATTGCTTGGGAGAATGTTGTGTGTTATAAAAACATGGAAGGTGACAATTGTGAGTTATAGAAGTACGCACTAAGACAAATAAATAAATAAAAGTAAGTCTCCTGTCTTAATCTTTGTGGTATATGCTTAAGCTTTGCTTGCACACACAGACATTGTTGAACCCAATAATGTTTGCAATCAAGACTTTTTATTCTCCTGACGTACTCCAGAATAGGAAGCAGTCTGCTAAAATGTGCAGTAACACCTTGGAGGAACATGGCACTGCAAAATTCATTGCAAAAATATTCAGATTTCCCTCTGTATAAGTATACACTTCCTTGTTCCTTGAGGACTGACAGCTTAATAAATAATGTTGAGTACCCTAAGAAAATACTAAAGCTAGTTATTAAAAGAAAGGGTGGTGAAGCTGTAGTAATGGCTTCTGGAGGTAGATATACATGAAGTGTCTACCTTAACCACCTATTTTAAGCCTTCAGAATAGCTGTGATTTATTAGTATGATTCAAGAGATGTGGATATTTCTGAGTAAGGCTTATGTTTCTGTGTTTCAATAGCTGATTTGCATAAAATTACACAGGAAAAATCTACACTATAAGAATAGGATGCACCTATTCCTTATTTTTTGAATGACCAGGTATGACTGATGAAGCTACAAATAAGTTACAGCATTTTTGCATTTAGCAGCCTGGACAACCTTTGAGACTCTCTGTTACTGCCACTGAGTGTCACTCATAGCTATTAAAAGCTGAGACCAGTATAATATATCCTGGGTCTAATCTCTGAGCGAGGTATGCTGTGGACTGCAGGCTTTAGAGGTGAGGTGTACGGGTCATGTAACATAATTAAAAGAACTAAAATCCTTATCCTCACAACAACCATGGCTTGTTCTCTTTCTGTTTAGCTCTCTCCTGGCACATGTATCTTCTCTTCCTGAAAAATTGTGGGTGTATTCACTGTCCCAAAACCATATCCATGAAACTTTTCTCTGTATGTGGATTTCTTTGCTTTCGTCCTCGGGGGGCTTTACTTTGAGGGGAAGGAGGACAGCACTGTGACTTGTTAAGTACAAGGCAGGATTTGGGGAGTGAAGTAAAATCATTATTTTCCTACTACACAAAAATAAAACACAACAAACCCACTAAGTAGTTTGAAGTAGCTGGGCTAAGTTAAAATCTTAGATATCTCATTTGTATACAAGAACTCTGTATACAACAGAAATCTCACAGACCATGAGGAGTTCTGGGTCCTGATTGTTCCTCATGTACTCAGACTACTGTACAGGTATTTTCAGCAGCTTCAGGGGGTGCAAAGATATATATTCTGAAGAATTAATAAAACTTTCCTCATGGCAGTTAATCCAGACGTAGGAATACAGAGCCAAAACTTCCGTTTGTGTAAATAACTGTGACCCTGTAGACTTGTGAGGACTTAAACTGATTTGTGCATGCTGGACAGCTGGTCTTCTCCTAATATTCCTTTCAGAGTGGTGCTTTTTGTCATCAGTTTGTGTAAGGAAAACCTGAGACATGTAACCAAGCACATCTCCATGTATTTTCTTTTTATGAGTGAAATAAACCAATGTCCTATTCGGTCACTTAAAATCTGTATTACCAATGAGAAGAGCCCGACAGTTACATTACTCCCCCTGCCACAGAAGCACTGTTCTGCCAGATATGGTGTGTGTGTTTTTGGCAGTGACATGAATGAAAGTCAAGGAAAGAACATAAAAGTTAAAGTAGGTTCATATGGAGCACAATGCCCTCAATATGTCAGTGGTAGCTTTTTCACTACCGCCTCAATAAATATAGAAGTCTTTAATGGCTTCTTACAACCATTCAGTGCAACTGGCTTTATGATTTGTGTACCATTCCTCTCTGTGCTGGGTTAAGATTCTACTTAGAAATATCCTCTGAGCTTCTTCACACTGTGATCATTTTCCTGCAGCGTGCGGTCACACTGAAACAAATTCACTGAGCTAATTGTCCTTTTATTTATCCTTTGTACACTGGAAGTCATTTAAAAGTCAGTTCATTTATGCCAGTGTAAAACCAGATAATACAGTTGTAAGGCTAAGTGCTGCTCATGCTAGTTGCGAAGTAGGAAATCAGATCTAATAGGACCCTTTCTGTTTGAGTAGTTCCTTTTCATACTCAGAGCTCTGCTTTCATTCACTCAAGGGGAGATTTTTCATTAACTTCAGTAAGTGTGGGGACATGGCAATCTCCATGTCCTTTGTGGTCTCAGCTGTACCTCTGCACAAACATAAAAGAAAAGAAGGTTTATGGCTTCTAGAAATCAGACATCTCTTTCCATTAGTGCTTAAGGTTGTGAGTCTGGTTTTGAATCTTGTGATTCTGGTGGATTATTTAGGAGAACCTCCAGAGTATGAATTGGTGTGTTCTGTATTCCACAGTTGAATATACAAAATTTTTAAATTATTCCAGTCTTTGCCGAAAACCTTGGCATTGACATGTATTTTCCAGATCAAATTGAACAGTGACATTTTTCTTATAGGAAAGGAAGATGCATTGCTTTGGATAATTCGATCCCAATTTTCAGGAGAGTATGAAGATTAAGATCAGGCTGGTCTGATCTTCTGCCTGACAGAAGTACAGATTTGCTACACTGTCAAAATGAATGAGCAGCATTTTGCCAGATTTGTCCATAATATACTACTTGATAGCTATACTTGCCATCTGTATCCATTTGTGTTCAAAAAAGTCCTCAGTCCCATTCTACCTGTCCAAATTTACACTCCAGGAAGAAAAAAAATGCATTAAGTGGAAAATGCAAATATTTCATTAAAGCACCATACATCTTAGCTGGTTAATAACTGGTCAAACAACCAGGGAAATTGCACACAAAGCCAAAGTCCATGCTGACAGATGTTTTGCTGATCACAGTAACCTGCAGACTGTCCTCAGGAGTGCTGTCTTTTGCATGCAGCATACATGGGCTTGAGAATGCTCTTTGAGGAAAAGTGCTAAGTGTATTTTTATCAGCTGCCAATGCAACCTGGTGATTGCTGCAGATTGCCTTGTCAGTGTTCTGGCCTTACAAGATCCTTGCAATATATTGCCAGCTGTATGCAGCCCTCACAGAAGATAGTGTACTCCTTACCGTAGCAGCCAGATTGTCACCAGCCTAATCTCATTCATGAGCAGCTATTTATGTAAGTGATCACAGGGCGTCAGGCTAGTCATGTGAATGACCATTTATCTACGTCTGTGAGGGATTCACAATCTGGCTGCATGCTGATTGAAGCATTAAATCTGAAAATAGCTATCTAGAGCACATAAGTTTGATTTTCTGTGATAAAAATTGCAAGTGTGCAGATTGCTATGAAGTCTACGGTGGCAGCTGGAGCTGGGGGAGGCACAGGAGATGAACCTTCTGCCTGCTCACCAGTGTCAGATCCCAGGGCAGTGTTGGGGTGCAAGTGGCTTACACTGTTGGGATGCTCCCTCGGACAGTAATTTTCTGCTGTCAGTGGACTTGTCCTTCATGTTCCATAAGTGGTACCTGCGATACATAAAATATAAATTGCTGTGGTTCCTGTCAAGGCAATTGGTAACAGAACCGTTACTGCTTATTTTTGCTGCATCTCACTGGCACACAGCTGAGAGCAGATTTTGCTACTCTGCATTTGTCGCTACAAACCTGTGAAACGTCTCTGCCAGCAGATCTGAAGCTTCTTTTCTTTTCCTTTGCTATCTGCAGGTCCAACAGATCTCAGTATGAAGAGGCAGTTAGCAACCAGCTCTGGATCCTCCAGTAGTTCAAGCTCTAGACCCCAGCTGAGTCCGACTGAAATAAACGCAGTGAGGCAGCTCGTGGCAGGGTATCGAGAATCAGCCGCATTTTTATTGCGTTCTGCAGATGAACTGGAAAACCTTATTTTGCAGCAGAACTGAGTCATGTGACCTTCACACCGGCCTGGTCTTATCTCAGAATTTCCACTAATGACATTTTGATTTCCCAGAGCACACACTTCAGTTACTGCACAGTCTTTTAGAAGAGTTAATTACCATAATGCCACACTGTTCTTGATCCATAAAGTGATGTGTTAAGGTGCTTCAAGTGAACTTCGACCTCTGGTATTTCCGAGGTACTTTACTGTGTCCAGCCTATTGCTTTTGTTTTAGTGTGTCAGCATAAATATCGAAAACGTGGCTAGAAATTAACTCATTCTAACAAGTGGAGGAAACAGAAGATGCTGTGATGGTTTTTAAAAAAAGTGGTTCAAGATCCAAGTGCAATATTAGTGGAATGTGATACTGACTCATTGGACTTAAAGCTGCAGTATATGGCAAAACATTGCCAAATGTCCTGTTGCTACAGGGCACAATTGCAATTAAAAGGATCTTGTATTTTAAAAAAATGTAATTTTTATAAAAAACAAAACAAAAGATTTTTGTTTTCATTCAAGATTTTTCATTTTTACTTTGGTAAACTTTTTCACTGGTCCTGAAAATGTTTTGAGGAGCTATTTTAAGTCCCCCCTTCCTCTCTTGAACCCCTGGCTGTGCCCTTCTCCCCAACTTCATATTCTTTCTACAATGAGTAACTCTTGATGCTGGATAATTCTTCCCCCATGTACTGTAAATTGTCATCTATGGAATACCTTCCAAAGGAAGCATGCATTTCCTGCATTCATACCATTCTCAACTCCATTCTGTAATATATTGCAGCTTTATTAGCAATTAATAAAGAGTTGAGCATTTTTTAAAAAAGACATATCGTTGAGAAAAAAAAAGATAAATTGATTTCTTACGGTGAGCTCATCTAACTCCATGATCACTGCTGCTGTCTTATACAAGTCCCTCTAGTTGTGATTGGATGTAGATGATGAATGTTAAGAGGTTGCAAGTGACAATCTGAAAATTTGCACTCTTGTGTGTATTTATTTTTTTTCCTTAATTTAAACAAAATTCTTACCAAGGAAGGTCATTGACACTTCTGGTATAATTTGTATAATTCCCAGGCCTAGCTAAAACTGTACAAAACTGTAAATGGATGCAGCTGCAACGATAATAAAACTCTTCTCTCCCTTTCCCCACTCTTCCCAACCCCTCTATTTCTTATTTTATATTATTGATTACACATTAATGGTGTTTTCTTTGTGCACTACAGCAGGCTTCTTTTTAAGTATATAGAGAAGAAAAGTACCTTAGTTTATGCTTACTGTACTATCTGTTCTGTTGTTTAGCTTTTGTTGAATAACAAGTTTCTTGTGCATTCCTAAATTTGCCTTATTTCATGTACAAAATTTTATGTAATTCCGTTTTTGACAATGAGTTTAAGGCATCAGTGATATTTTATATCTACTTGTTACATATAGTTTTCCAAGTAATGACTGTGATTGTGACCAAGTAATGTGCACTTTTTCTTGTAACTGTGGACATTGCTATGCTTTTTTTTCTCTAGTGTTTCTAGAATTACTGTTGCTTACAGTTATGTAAAAGAAAAAGAACTTTTGTGATACTGTTGGTGAATATTAATGTGAAAAAGCCTATGAAATATGAGTATTTTGGAGGTACATAGATACACAAACATCTCTAAGTTGTGGACTGATGTTCACATATTTAAATGAGAATTCAAAACCTGAGGGCTGGAATCATTTCCTCTGTTTTGTTTGGGTAAATAAACAGATTTCTGTGTTTAAATACATGATTGTGAAACATTGTAACATTTAAATTGGATAGCATTTAAAGATATAACTATTATTGTCTTTAAACAGGAAAAGAGCCTTCCAGTCCAATTCATGCAGATGCTCAACAAAATTATTGAGTAAATCCAGTAGGCTGATCTATCTGCTGCTTTGTATTAGTGAAGAATTTCCTCAATAGGAGCAAAGTGGGTGATCCATAAATCAGGAGACTGAGTCACTAGCATTTTATAATTTAAAGTTGGCTGGAGGGAACACCATTTTGCCACTCTCCATTTATTCTTAAAAATATATTGGATGTCTTTTTAGAGGCACCTATTCTCGGATATGAGAATATTGTTGCAAATCCTTACTAGTTGCTACCCATCACTTGGGAGGTGCATTTGTTCCTAACATCGTCTCACCATGCTCATGAAAGCCTACAGCTTGTCTTTACCATAGATGGATTGCCTCAGTTTTTGTCTCATTAGGCATTCAAAAGCCCATTAAGAGTCAAGCGCCTTTTCCCTCTTTTCCACTCTCAAATATCTATACCTTTTTCTGTCTATTGCATGCCAGGAGGGGATGAAGCAGGTACCTTGTGCCAGGTCACTGTCTTGACCTTATCCAAAGGAAAGCTCTGATATACATCTTCCACAGAGAAGAGTGACAACTGTGCTTAGGTTTCAAAGTTGCCTTATTCCTGTTGTGCAGGGCCACGTGCCTCAAACTGCCAACTAAGCAGCAACCAGCAGTATGTCCAAGAGGCTGTTTGCCAGCCAGGAATGCTTTTCAGCTGGGGAGCCTCACTGTTTTTCTTGCTAAATCCAGATAAGGACAAGAAGCTAGAAGATGAAGTAAGAAATTTATGTCAGTGTTCTACTCTCTTACTCTTTCTTCTTCCTCAATTACTCCTTCTCTTGTTGGAGTAGTAGGAAAGTTGGTAGTCACCGTACAGCCTTCAAGGACTATGACTAGTCTCTTCTTTTTCCTGCTCCATCCTCAGCCTTCCCATCTACATCCCCTTTGATATTACTCTCAAGTATGTCTTATATACACATCCTCTTGTTCTGGATGTCTTCTCTGAAATATTTAGAGCCTTCTCCAATTATAGGAGCAATTGATGTCTTTCTCAAAAGTCTTGTACAGATACTTGACTGTACCAGTATCCTCAAGTGGTTTATGTGTACCAAATTCCAGCAGACTGATAGGTTTTTTACTCTATAGCTTTTTTCACCTCTAAGAACAGTTTATTCATCTCTTCTTTGGAACAGTCACAGATTGAACTATAGTTTTAACTCTTCTTCTTCTAAGACAGTACTGAAATTCAGATGCATCCTGTGAAGGCGAGACCATAAATCTCCATCCAATTTTGTGTGTGTAGATCTAGATTCAAGCATTGCAATTAAATTCATCCTCATGAATCCAGGTCTTAGAGCCACCTACTGTCTGTCTGCTTTGAACCTTCTAAGGCAGTAAAGGTGCAAGGAGAGATGATCTTGTTCCTGCTATATATTTAGTCATGTACCCAGCAGTAACCTCAGAGTTATTTCTTTCTCTCTATCCACATCTTCTGTAACCAACACATGATCACCTCAGCCTAAATATTGCTGTCAGGATAAGGCCAATTCCTTCCAGCATGGGTGTGGTCCTCTGAGTCTGGCTGCTTAAGGCTGCCTTCAGAAAAGCATTGTCCTTCTGTCCAATCTCTTTATTAAACTAGTACTTCAAATTGATGGATGTCTCACTGCAGAACTTCATCAGTGCAGACTGGCAGGTGCTGGTCCTTTCTGAGGCAGCCTCACATCTTTCCAGCAATCCTGGGGTTTCTTTGTGAGTGGTCCTGGAAGACCTTCAGTTTTAAAGGGATTGCTGGACAGGGAGAGATGGTAGGAGAATGTCAATAATGCCCATAAACTTCCATACAGAGTTAAGTACAAAACTAAACCATGGTCTCGGTGTGTTGAGTCACTTTATGCTTACATACATACTGGGAAGACAAGTCATTCATCCATTCTTCTTTCCCTGATTTCCAGGGTAGTTTTCATTGATAGGACAACCAGCTGTGGGCAGTATCTTTAGATGTAACCTTGGGTTGTGAGAGTGGACAATCCAACCTGCTTCTCAGCTAACCAGATTTGTTTACTGCTTTTGATGCCAGCTGGAAATCTGAAATCACAACACATGAAAAGAGATCTGGAGTCAAAAGTTTTTATCCAGTTTGGCACCTTGCTGTCTGTCATCAAAGGAGCACACCACCGTACAAGCCATGGCGAATATCAAAAGCTACAGAAATAGTATGCATAGGTAAGCAAGTATTTGACAGTTCTAAAGCTGCCCATCCTGTATGGAGAAGGAATTTTCTGAATGAGGGAAAGCAAATGAACTTATTTGTGACTGTGGCTGTAAAACTAACTGGAAAACAGAGTTATACTGAAGTGACTGGATATTCTTGCTGTATTGACCTGAGTCCCTGCTGAATAAGGTTCAGGTGGAAGTAAGTTTTGTTGGTAAAACCCCATTGAAATAAGGAACATATTAATATCCCTCAAGTTCCTAGCACTGTGTTAAAAGACTTGCCATAAATTTGTTGAAACTCCTCTGAATTTGTCTTTGAACGGCTTGTGAGGCATTCATAAGGAAGACCTATGTTTTTCTATTTAAAGAAAAGCTGATCTTGGTAGATCCTGGAGTCAGGATCTAGCCCTGACTCCAACCATAATTGAAAAACCCTTACCAGCACATGAAAAAGAACTGTGAAATAATGGCAGAAATCAAGCAATGCCATACAGATGCTTACTAGATTAAATATGTAAGAATATAAAATGGCTGTAGTGGACAAGAGCAGTTGTTCACAACCTTGTATTCTGTCTCTGATAATGTATAAAACACATAAAGATGTACCAAATATAGCACCCAGAAGAACAGAGCAAGTATATAGCAAGAATTTCTAAATGCACATCTATGGCCTACAATAGTTTGAGGCTGCAGTGGTTTGTCCCTGGCTGGCAGGTAAGCCCTCACCATCTCACTCGCTCACTCCCCACAGTGCCACAGGGAAAGAATTCAAAGGGCAAAAGCAAGGGAAAAAAACATGGATCAGCTTGAGTAAGTGAAGAATGAAAGAAGCGAAAAGGATGCAAAGATGATCCCTCAGCACTTCCCACCAGCAGACATGGTGCCCAGATGGTCCCCAAGCAATGTCTACGTTGGACACATACCCCACCCCAATTTGCTCCATGTTTTTTTTGCCAAGAATGATGTCAT